ACGCACACACACACACACACATATATATATAGGCTGTCCTCAAAGTAAACACACACACACAAACACACACACACACACATATATATATATATATATATATATATATATATATATATATACACACACACACACACACACACACACATATATATATATATATATATATATAGGCAGTCCCGAAAAAAAATTATGCACTTTAAGAGCTGATAGCTTAATTGATGTTTTTTTTCTTTCCAGGTTAAATCCATTAGAATTAATGATGGCAGTCAAAGTTAGCTTTGAACAAAGGAAATTCATTCTCAAATGCTACTGGAAGAATCAAAACTCAATTTAATTGCAAAGACTGTTTAAAAGGGCGTTTCAAACAGATCCACCGACGCGACATATCATCACTCGAATTTTGAAGCCGATTGAACTGTTCAGAATATCAACGAGAAACGTTCCGGAAGACCACGGACATCGACCATCCCGCCAAAGCAAGAAAGAGTACTGGAAAAGTTCAGTGTAACCCGGATATAAGAGAGTTGTCGGGACCGGAGAAGAAGTCTCTTATATCCGGGTTTCTCTCATGTCCGGGTTTGGTCTATTTTATATACATTAACACAGGCTCTAATTTGGGACAAGAGAAAATCTCTCTATCCGGGTTTCTCTTATATCCGGGTTTGGTCTATTATATATACATTAACACAGGCTCTAATATGGGACCAGAGAAAATCTCTCTTATATCCGGGTTTCTCTTATATCCGGGTCTCTTATATCCGGGTTACACTGTATCACCAATGTTCAAGAAAATCTGTACGGCAAGCAAGTAGTGAGGTAGGTATTTTTTTTATTCCAACGCATTCTGAAACGCTGTAAATATAATAGTTACATTTCAAGGTTACTTCATGCTATTAATGATGATGATCCAAAATTTGATCCTACCTTGAAACAGATAGATTGGACGAAGGGGTTTCGTAGAATACATTCCGTGTTCACCAGAACCTCACACCATTCGAATTTGTTTTTTATGGGGATACTTAAAAGACAAAGTCTATGCTATGAAACCTGCAGAAGTCGTTGAATTGGGAGTAGCCATTGAACGAGAATGCACAAAAAAATGTTTAGTGATGTTTGCGATTCTATGGCTTCGCGTTGTCAGCAGTGCCTGGACCAGAACGAAAAAAATAAAATAATATCTGTAAAATCTATTAAATTTTGAAAATGAAATATATTTCAATAAACCCTTTTTTTTAAATGAATTATTTAAAATGTGTATAAATTTTTGGGGGCACCCAGTATATATGGGAAAAATATATGAAAAAATGGAAAAAGGTTTCCTTTAGCACGTCATTGGAATTTTTTCCACTTTGTCATCCATTTCCCCCTATACTGTTCCTGAAATATATATATATCGTTATCTTATATATATATATATATATATATATATATATATGCGATAACGATATATATTAATACATACAGATATACCTATATTTGTTGTGCAAATGGTTTCCTAAGTTATCACGCACGAATATACAGTTGCTAATATCTTGTTATTTAGTTTATATTTACACTTATATATATATATATATATATATATATATATATATATATATATATATATATATATATATATATGTGTGTGTGTGTGTGTGTGTGTGTGTGTGTGGCATAAGAATAACAATTGGAAAAAAAAAAAAACCTTAGTTTTTTGCCAACGCGTTTCATCTTCCGACTTTAATATATAAAGGTAAACAATGAAGTGAAATGTTTTTGTTGGCATAGTTACATTAAATCCAAAATTTTAAAAAAAAAGAGAGAGTCGCTCTTACGTCAGCCTCTTTCTGGCTAATGGCAACTTCCTTTACACTAAGAGTTTTTTTTGTTTTGTTTTCCATGTCGACAATGAAGTCAAATCTCACAGAATAATTCTGTGGATAACACAAATTGCGATAAGAATGACAATCATCAAAAACTAAGAGTTCTTTTTTCCAATTCTCATTCTTATCCGAATTTGTCTTATCTACAGAATTATTCTAGAAAATTTTATCTCACTCTCTCTCTCTCTCTCTCTCACTCTCTCTCTCTGATGAGCTGTGATACAGCGAAACAGTCTGTCTGTGGATGTCAATATATGCTTCTGAAAAAATTATTTCGGTTGAGCTCTCTGGGGAAGAAGTGTGAGGTTGTAAACAGTGACTGTTACTGCTAATAATGCAAGACTCTTCGGTAAAAGCGAATCGAGTTCTCTCATCGACTGGTGTTATCTAAAAATAAAATTAAATTCGCTTTCGTCCTTTCAGCCAACGGTTTAGTGGTAGAATCTCCGACTGACGCCAATTCAGCCGCGTTTTGATCCTAGCTAGAGGCAACCGGACGTCTAGCCATACAGCGAAACAGTCTGTCAATGGATGACAACACACACACACACACACACACACACACACACACACACACACAATATATATATATATATATATATATATTTAATGAACAACAGACACTTCAAGGTTGTGTTGTTCATTAAATATTAGCTCTGTTCTTCACATTGAGCTCTCAGGATTTCATCCTCCTTGGATTTACCAATTCGGTTTACCAAATTCTTCAAACTTATATATATATATATATATATATATATATATAAACAAGGAATCATCTTTCAGGTGTACAGAGTCCGACTATTATTTTAAGTTTCATGCCTATAAGCAATCGTCAGGAGATCGGCAGCTGGAATGCGAAAATGGGAGCGTTTATACCCCCAGGAAAGACTAAGATGGAAAAAAATATGGACAGTATTCGTGCACCATGCATAAAGCAACCAGTCTCACCTGGAGATGGTGAGGGAAAGCACCCATCCGGGCAAAATCAAAATAAAGCCAAAATAAACATACAATTATACCGTTTCATACTAAAAAATAATTAAAAAAAAATAAATCTCGCCGATGCGTCAAAAGTGCGTAATACTACAGAGACCCCCATGAAAGAGCTTTCAAATATAAATATAAATAAGCAGGTCTTAAAAAAAAAAAGGCTGCCGTGTATATTTGTTTGTGCATAATATACTGAACGATTATATATTGAATTAATTCCTAGGTCTGCTTTCCCTTCCTGTCCGTAAAAAAAACAAAAAAAAAACAAACAAAAAACGCTAGGGTTACAGGATAAAAGTGTATAAACCAAAATGTGTCCCTTTAATTTTAAAATTTGTCCCCGAAGGGCAGAGTCTCGTTCGGAGAGTTTGACCAACCCGATCTCTTTTACACGGGTACTACGGGCATTTTTTGGCCGCGCCTACGGGCTCGGGAAACCCACGTTAAACTCGGTCTTGTGCCACATGCAACCCTCGTCGTGTGCTAGATACCGAATCAAGCCGAACTTCTCGGCTTGACGGTCGAACTCTCTGCCTCTGAGCAGAGAGGAACCCGGACGAGGCTCTGCCGAAGGGCAGAATCTCGTTCGGGGAGTTTGACCAACCCGATCCCTTTTACACGGGTACTACGGGCATTTTTTGGCCGCGCCTACGGGCTCGGGAAACCCACGTTAAACTCGGCCTTGTGCCACATGCAACCTTCGTGGGGGGGTGGCTAGATACCGAATCAAGCCGAGAAGCTCGGCTTGACGTGGAACTCTCTGCCTCTGAGCAGAGAGGAACCCGGACGAGGCTCCGCCGAAGGGCAGAGTCTCGTTCGGGGAGGTTGACCAACCCGATTCTGTTTTTACAGTTTCTACGGGCATTTTTTGGCCGAGCCTACGGGCTCGGAAAACCCACGTAAAACTCGGCCTTGTGCCACATGCAACCCTCGCGGAGCGAAGGTACAAGTAAATATATAATCGAGTCGAGCCGATAGTAGTTCATTCCAAACCAGACTGACAGTCAGACTAACACCTTCTACATCTTGTATTATTATTTCGTGTAATATACCTTCGTTATTTCTACTCTTGTGTTCGTGTTGTTCTTCCTTGGTCCTAACCTGGACCATAACATTAACTCTATCGTCCTAGACAATTTTTCACGCCAGAATCTATTTTACATGTTTATTCGTTCATGCACTGAATATTGCTGCCACATGTTGTTCGCTGCTCCTGTTATATATTTAGAGATTCTTGATAAAATCCAAAGAAGAATCTGTAATATTATTCGTCCTGACTTGGCATCTCGGCTTCAGTCACTTTCCGACTGCGTATCATCGCTTCCATGGGCCTTTCTTATAAATATTTTCATAGTAATTGTTCTGAAGAGCTTTTCTCTTTGGTACCTAAACGTTACGAATTTAAGCGCAGTACTAAATTGGCAGATAGGTCTCATCATTTTACAGTTAGATGTAATTGCATGTTCTATGCTAAGATTTTTTCTCTCGTACATCTCACTTGTGAAACTTCAAGCTTCTTGTTTTGCAAACATTTAAATGCAATATCAGTGATCTTCTTTCTCCATAAATCCTGTTCTTTTATTGCCTTCTTAATAATGATTTTTTTCTCTTAGATTCTTTCATATTCAGTAATATACTTGTGTCTTAGTGGCTTTATCACCTTGCTTGAGGCGAAATGATTAAGTAAAATAACGTATATATTATTAATGAATAAGATAAAAACTTAAGTTTTCTCTTTGAATCTTGATTTTATTTGCGAATAATTCATATTTTTATAATACTGTAAATGTAAAAGAAAAAAATCGACTTCCTCTCTAGATCAATAAAATGCAAAAAAAAAAAAAACGTTTGAAAAAGCTATTCACAGCATCGGTCTATTTTGATTGTAAACAATTCCGACTGTCTTGTGAAAAAAAATAAAGCCAAAAAAGATGGCAAAATGCATAAAGAATTAATAAAAGTGTTTTTTGTTAAAAAAAAAAAAAGTATATTTATTTAAAAAAAAAATCACATTTGGGAATATTGATTTTCCAGAAGAAATTATTGTAAAATTATTTCAGATTGTCGAGAACTTTGTTGAAAGAAAACGGGATATTGTACTGCATAGAAATTCACGGCACAACACAATTTTACCGTGTCCATGCTCACCTCTCCCAATAGAGATATAGTCTTTTATTGAGAGATAGATAGATAGACAGATAGAGAGAGAGAGAGATAGATAGATAGAGAGAGAGAGAAAGAGAGAGAGAGAGAGAAAAGAAAAGAAGATAGATAGATAGATAGATAGATAGATAGATAGATAGATAGCGGGGTAAAAAGTGGGGTAGAGATGAAGGGAAAGAAAGAGATTTCGTGCTGTATAGAGAAAGTCACGGCCCAACACAATTTCATTTTATCCAGGTTGACCTCTACCGTTAGAGATATTTGTCTTTGACTGAGAGAGAGCGTGAGAGAGAGAGAGAGAGAGAGTAAGAAATGGAAAAAGAGAGACAAAGAAAGAGAGAGAGAGAGAGAGAGAGAGAAAGGGATACATAGGTGAGAACGAGAGTTTGTGCCTTGTAGAAATTCAAGGTACTGCACAATTTCTTCTTGTCCAGGTTGATCTCTACCATTACGGATATAGTCTTCCACCGAGATAGAGAAAGAAAGACAGTGAGAGAGGGAAATAAAGAAAGGAAGATGGAGAAACAGAGAGAGAGATAGAGAGAAAGAGAAAAGAGAGAGAAAGAGGGAGAAAAAAGTAAGATATATATATATATATAGTGAGAGAGAGACTGTATTGTAAAGAAATTCATGGCACAATACAGTTTTACTGTGTCCAGGTTGATCTCTGCTAATAGAGATATAGTCTTTCATTGAGAGAGAGAGAAAAATAAAGAGAGGAAGAGAAAGAGATAGATAGATGGATAGATAGATAGATAACGAGAGAAAAAGAGGGGCTAGAGGAAGAGGAAAAGAGATTGTGCTGTATAGAAAGTCACGGCAGAAGATAATTTCATTTTATTCAGGTTGACCTCTACCATTTCACACACACACACACACACACACACACACACACACACAGAGAGAGAGAGAGAGAGAGACAGACAAAGAAAGGAAGAGAGAGATAGGGAGAGAGAAGAAGAAGAAGAAGAAGAAGAAGAAGAAGAAGAAGAAGAAGAAGATAAATAAAATAAATAAATAAAATAAACCCGCTGAAGGAGAGAGAAGAAGAAGAAGAAGAAGAAGAAGAAGAAGAAGAAAGGAAAAAGAGACAATGATAATGAAGGAGAAGATAAGAGATGATGATGATGATGATGATGATGAATTACACAATGATGAAAAGATAGGGTAAAGAAAACAATGAAAAAAAAGGTGAATATGAAAGAAGAAGAAGAAGAAGAAGAAGAAGAAGAAGAAGAAAGGAAAAGAGACAATGATAATGAAGGAGAAGATGAAGAGATGATGATGATGATGATGAATTAGGCGAAGAAGAAGAGCCAGTGTTAATGATGAAAAAGATAGAGAAAGAAAACAATGAAAAAAGGTGAATATGGAAAGAAGAAGAAGAAGAAGAAGAAGAAGAAGAAAAAGGAAAAAGAGACAATGATAATGAAGGAAAGATGAAGAGATGATGATGATGATGATGATGAATAAAATTAAATAAGAAGAAGAGCCAGTGTTAATGATGAAAAATATAGGTAAAGAAAACAATGAAAAGGTGAATATGAAAGAAGAAGAAGAAGAAGAAGAAGAAGAAGAAAGAAAAGAGACAATGATAATGAAGGAGAAGATGAAGAGATGATGATGATGATGATGATGATGAATTAGGCGAAGAAGAAGAGCCAGTGTTAATGATGAAAAGATAGGGTAAAGAAAACAATGAAAAAGGTGAATATGAAAAGAAGAAGAAGAAGAAGAAGAAGAAGAAGAAGAAGAAGAAAGGAAAAAGAGAAATGATAATGAAGGAGAAGATGAAGAGATGATGATGATGATGATGATGATGATGAATTAGGCGAAGAAGAAGAGCCAATGTTAATGATGAAAAAGATAGGCAAAAGAAAACAATGAAAAAGGTGAATATGAAAGAAGAAGAAGAAGAAGAAGAAGAAGAAGAAGAAGAAAAGAAAAGGAAAAAGAGACAATGATAATGAAGGAGAAGATGAATAAGAAGAGCCAGTGTTAATGATGAAAAAGATAGGGTAAAGAAAAACAATGAAAAGGTGAATATGAAAGAAGAAGAAGAAGAAGAAGAAGAAGAAGAAGAAGAAAGGAAAAAAAGACAATGATAATGAAGGAGAAGATGAAGAGATGATGATTGATGATGATGATGATGATGAATTGAGGAAGAAGAAGAGCCAGTGTTAATGATGAAAAAAGATAGGGTAAAGAAAACAATGAAAAAGGTGAATATGAAAGAAGAAGAAGAAGAAGAAGAAGAAGAAGAAGAAGAAGAAGAAAGAAAGAAAATATAAGCCCTTCGAAAGAAGGTATATTTATCAAAGTTTGTCGAGATCAGCTCAAAAACAAGATATCACATGAGCTCTAACGCTAGAGCATACAGAAGAAAGTCATTGCTATTTTATTTGGATCTTAGTGGCACGCTGCCATCTTTTCATTTTGCAATACCAAAATTACCTTTGTTTTAGAGAGCTGAGTAAGCATCTTGTTTGAACAGCTTTCAGCCGTCTATCAAAAATGGCGGATATGTCTTAATTCTTTTAATTTAATATCTTCTTCTTCTTCTTCTTCTTCTATGTGTCGTGTTTTTTCAGGACGTAGGCGATTATGGTTCTCCACAGTTTCCTATCCTTTGCAGTTCTTAATAAATTTTATCTTTGTGCTCTCTCTCTGTCTCTCACTTAAATCTTACTCCGCCATCCATTTACTCAAACTCGCTAGTTAAGTTATACGTTGTTTTCCTCTGCCTTCAAACTGTCCTATGAGTATCAGATTTATCCAAGCCCTCTTTCCTAGAAATTTCAACTGTCTCTTTCTGATGCTATGTATAAGTTTCCTTTTTGTTTCAATTTTCTCTAAAACTTCGTTGTTGCTCATTTCCCCAGTCTATGGTATTCTCAGCATCTTTCTGTAGAACCATATTACAGTTGCCTTAAGTCTCTTCTTCATCTGTGACATGATTGTCCAGCATTCACAGCCGTTTCAAACAAAAACAGAAGAAAACATGAGGGTGGACGTCTTATATATCCTCTTCTTCTTCTTCTTCGTCTTTCTTTCTTTCTTTCTTTCTTTCTTCTTCTTTGGATTTTTCTTCTTCTCATTCTTCTACTTTCTTCTTCTTTCTTCGTCGTCTTCTTCGTCCTCTTCTACTTCTCCTTTTTTCTTCTTCTTTGTGTTCTTTGTCTTCTACTTCGTGTTATTCATCTTCTACCCCTTCTTCTGCTTCTTTCTTTTTCTTTTTTGTCTTCTTCTTCTTCTTCTTCTTCTTCTTCTTCTTCTTCTACGTCATCTTCTTCGTGATTCTCTTCGTCTACACCTTCTTCTTCGTATTCATCATCATCGTCATCGTCATCTTCTTCTTCGTCGTCGTCGTCGTCTTCTATGTCCGGTACCTCTTCAGTACATAGGCGAGCATGGCTCTCTCTCCAATTTCCTGTCCTTCGAGGCTCTCAATAAATATTGTCTTTTTAGTTATTTTCCTAAACTTTGCTATGCCATCAAATTTAATCAAGCTCCCTAGGTAGTTTATGTGCGTTTTCCCCTGTCTTTGTTGCCTTGAATCTCTTCTGTGAGTATTCAATTTTCCAAGCCTTCTTTCCTTATTATGAGACTTAGAAATTTAAACTATCTTTTTCTGATGTTAAGTATAATTGTCTCTTTGGTTTCTATTCTCTCTAAAATTTCTTCGTTGATCACATGTTTGGTTCCCAACCGGTTACCAGGCTCGACGTTGCTTAACTTCTGTGATTGTCCGAGAACAAGTGTTTCATTGAGATATAGATTTAAGCCTCGGCAACTTTCAAGAAGCGAGCAATCTCTAAACCAGTCTGTTCTGTCCCAGAGGTAACAATTACAGTATGCTTTTTCAGTTTGTCCCTGTACCTACCTGTAACGGCATTCACCCGGAGTGGGTTGAGCCGGCTCCAATATTGGAGTTTCATGGGAATTTGGAATTAACAAGCGGTCCCCAAACCCGCATGTATAGGCTTCAGATCAGTTCCCAGGAAACCGACAGCAGCACATGAGATTTGATTATAGTGGTGAAGGTTTCGTGCAGGATCATCCACATTTTTTGAAGGGCCGAATACAGAGACCTGGTGCACTACGTGCCACAAGGTCCCCAAGGTCCCCAAACGACCCTCTGCAGGTTTTGAATTCAGAGTTGTCCTTCTTCTAGACCAGTTGCCATCCAAGGCTATAGAACCCAGTCTGTCCTGCTATTTACCCATAGCTGGAGGGAGAAGAAGATTCACACCTTTCCCAATGGTGTTAGCACGAAAGTGAATGTAATGGATTCGACTGGAATTCGAACTCGGCTCTGCGATTTCTCAATCCATGCCGCTATCCATTACTCCTCTCACGAAATGGACTAAGTCCGACAATTACTTTAATATATTTTCTGTTTATACGTTGTTTTTATAAATACAAATATTTAAGTAAATGCTCTGTTTATAATAAACAGTATCAAGAACATTTACTGGCCTGAAAATCCTAAAAAATTCATAGAATATATGTCCTCTCAATCAATTTCAATATATATATATATATATATATATATATATATATATATATATATATGTATTCTCCATATCCTCACATACACACAGACGAGCGTAAGCGCGCGAAAGGATACACGCCGACACTCACACGCATGCATACACTATAAAAAAACACTTAGATCAATGAAAAGTTCATATATATATATATATATATATATATATATATATATATATATATATATATATATATATATATATATATATATATAATTAGGAGTTCAGTTGAATCCGTTACCTTGGTTTCAAACTTATGGTATCCCCGGGTGACTTTTATCTATTGACCTCCCGACGCTTTATTTTCAAAAGAAACTAAAATAAACAAACGCCCGAATTAGGTGTGATAGAAAGGGAGGAAAAGGTTATGAAGAAGAAGAAGAAGAAGAAGGCTATTATAAATGTGTCGTGCGGTTAATGGAAACGTAATTTTTTTTATCCAGCCTCATATGTGGTTAATAGGAAGTTTTTAGTGTGAATGCAAGGACTCGTGACTTCGGATTTTTTGTTCAAAACGTTCTTTGTATCCGAAAATGTTATTATTGCTAACTTTTCCTGTTGGGAGAGGTTACAAATATTATTGTGGTTGTTATAAAGCTTTCCAGCTTACAATTGGATCACTGCTGATTTTTTTCTTTTAAATTCCACAAATGGTTTATCTAATTTGGTAGAGCACCGAATACTTACTAGCTTGGATGACGACCTATGATTGTACCATCTACGTTTGAAATTACTTTCAGTACATCCTATGTAAGTTTTATTTTGGCCATTAATATCTATTACTTCTGCTTTATAGCTTATTCCTTCAGTTTTACAAGTTTCATCTAATGGACATCTATTTTTATTTCTACAGTTGCATAAATTACTAGTGTTAACTATGTTTTGCTGCGCGTTAGTTTTGAAATGTCTGGCATTTTTGTCTATTTATTATTGTTTTTAAATTACTAGTGCAACTGTAACTTAATTTAACTGTATTTTTATTGAATATTTTATGTAATTCTGAATTTTTGGGGAAGTATTTAGTAAGTAACTTGAAAAATAATTTCCCTATTATACATTTTACCTCAAAGTTAAAAGGGGTGGGGGTAAACCAAATGATATTTTTTCTTATCCTTAAATTGTTCTTCGTATGTTGTTTAATTTGAGGTTTGAATTCTAGTTTGGTTTTGTGACCCACTACATTTAAGTTCGTCTCATATTCTTTCTTTTTATCCTCAAAAATTATTTTACTAGGATAGTTTCTGGATAACATAGACTCTATTCTTTTAGGGACGTGCTTTATGTTCGCAGGGTGGTTGGCTCTAATATTCACGTATTTTAATTTTGCGTCGGGTTTCATGTATGGTGAGACACTGCCCGCTTGCAGATTTAATTTTACGTCCAGATAGTTGATAATTTTCGATTTTTATTTCAAGGCTTTTCAAGAGTCTGAAAAGAGCTTTTCTTATATTGTCATTTGTTGTTCAGTTGTTTGGCGCTATCATCAAACCGTCATCCCTACACAGACCGTGGTTATTATATGTACAGTTTTGTTATTTCATATAACATGTATAACTCTGAAACCTTAGCACCATCAAAGGAACCTTGTGGTACATCGAAATTGTCTTTTTTTATTTCTTAAACTAGGTCAGTTGATTGTGGAATAAAATTGATTTGTGGCATTCTAAAATTATTTCAGTTTGATCAGGTGTTATGCTTATAAAGCCTTTGGCGAAGTACAATGCCTCCAGCAGATCTTTTTCTGATATACATAGTGGGGAAGCAAAATTTACAAAGAAAGTTTAGTAGCTTTTTCTCAGCAAGTAGTACGCCATTTTTTAAACCTATCTTATATTGATGCCACACCCATATTTAATATTATCTTTTTCAGAAACCTTTACCCATGTAAGGAAACAGGAAAGCAAACGTGAAGGAATCTGTGATTTGCTAAGTGCACTTGTTACTCCAAATGTGGTATGCACAAGTTTCAGGAGGCGTGTGGAAACAGTTATTGAGAAAAAAGGAGGACACATAGAATAAAAATAGTTTATAGTATGTGTCATGGGTCCTTACCTATAACTACAGAATGAACTCTTCCTAACACTATGTATACTACGCCTCTCAAGAGAGAGGGTCGAATCAAGCCGAGCTTCTCGGCTTGACGGTCGAACTCTCTGCCTCTGAGCAGAGAGGAACCCGGACGAGGCTCCGCCGAAGGGCAGAATTTCGTTCGGGGAGGTTGACCAACACTATCCCGTTTATACGGGTTCTACGGGCATTTTTTGTCCGAGCCTACGGGCTCGGGAAACCCACATTAAACTCGGCCTTGTGCCATATGAAACCCTCGTGTGGGGTGGCTAGATACCGAATCGAGCCGAGCTTCTCGGCTAGACGGTCGAACTCTCTGCCTCTGAGCAGAGAGGAACCCGGACGAGGCTCCGCCGAAGGGCAGAGTCTCGTTTGGGGAGGTTGACCGACCCGATTTTATTTTTACAGTTTCTACGGGCATTTTATGGCCGAGCCTACGGGCTCGGAAAACCCACGTAAAACTTGGCCTTGTGCCACATCTTTCCCTCGTGGGGGGGCGAGTAAATATCGAATCGAGTCGAGCCGATAGTAGTTCACTCCAAACCAGACTGACAGTCACACTAACACCTTCCACATCATGTATTATTATTTCGTGTAATATACCTTCGTTATTTCTTCCTTGGTCCTAACCTGGACCCTAACAGTATGTCAATTATTTTGTGGAAAATAAATTTCTGTCTCAAAATATTGTAAATTTTGCTTCTCCGTCCTGTAGATGGATAAAAGTTTTTAATGTTGTATTTTATAAATACTTATTTGTTTTTATTTGTGATTTTGTGGAACCAAGAAATGCATTCACCTGTGTCCTTCCATTGATTGGCCTGTATGGCAATTCTTAATACATTTTTTAAAAATATTTCTTGGGTTATTTTACCAACTTCAGTTTTAGTTGAGCTTAGACGAAAAGAAGGATTATTGCAGAATTCATCTTTATGGGTAGAAATGCTTGCTTGCAGCATGATATGTGAACCTTGTCACATATCTCGAGTTTAGCTTTGATATTTTTCGCCTCCTCGTTTATACTTTTAATGTCTGGTGATTTTGGTAAATTTTAGTGATTTCTTCGTTTATTTTTTCCGGTAGGGCTCCGGGTTCATCGTGTAAATGTTCTTTGTCTTGCCGCCTTTAATTGGACTATTTTTAGTACTTTTTATTTTTTTTTTATTTAACAGTTAATAATTTTGAAAATTACTATTAACTTTTATGAATTTGATGTTGTCAATAATGCCAAGCATATCCTTTTCGAAGTTAACAAGTTCTTCAAAAGCAGGTGGGTAGTTGTTTGTTTTGAAATTGAATTTATTCGTGTTTTCTTTGTTCTTTAAATATTTATTTAATGAAAATAGTAACTTCCATCTCATTAGAGTAAGGAATTGTGAATTTTTTGTAAAAGAAATTAGCACGTATTCTTCATTGTTTGGAATAGAAATATTATGAATATATATATATATATATATATATATATAAGTATAGGTAACTACACTCGTCTCGGAAAACCTTTCCCTGACGATCCGCTTAGGTGAAACCTTGTTAGGTTTGTCTGGCTCTCTAGGTTTGACTATATATATATGTATGTATATATATATATAATTATTTATTTTAAAAAAAATTATAACATAAAATATGTTATAAAATCACTACAAAAATAGCCATTTTGTTTCAACACCCTCGGTGTCTTATCAAGTGATGATGTTAAAGTTAAAATAAAAAAAAAACAAACCAAAAAAAACACCGAGGGTGTTGAAACAAAATAGCTATTTTTGTAGTGATTTTATAAACATATTTATGTTATAAGTTTTAAAAAAAATAAATAATTGTATCTGCTCTACTTTGTATTGATCACTCTTTTAAGAATAGTAATTGTTGGTTATTGGAATTCATTTCGTATATACCAATTATATATATTATATATATATATATATATATATATATATATATTATATGAATCATTCATATAAAAAACATGTAATGTAAATTGAACTGCACCACACACTTGATATATATATATGTGTGTGTGTGTGTGTGTGCGTATTTAGGCAGCAATCCTTCTTTCATGCACATTTCATTGAATACGACAGACAAGGTGCATTTATTATTCGTTACATACTTGTTGACAACACTAATATAATAGCATCATCTACATGCAAAAAAGGCTAAAAATAATGGAAGCCTTATTAATAAAAACAAAAAACCAACACTTAATAATATTAACTTTAAACATGGACACAATATCTTGACCGTATTTTGAAAAATGAAAACATTTTATAAAACATACATTTCTTAAAACTATTTCTTATTTAACAGTTAAAATATTTAATCCTTGAAAATGGCTAAATATATAGCCGAAAGCGCTCGGATCAGGAGAACATTTGGACAGTTTTTCTATAATTTATCATCCGAAAAGAAAAAAAAAAATTAGATCGCATGAGAAATTGCATAAAAACTAAATAAAAGCACCTTGTCTCTCGTATTCAATGAAATGTGCATGCATATATATATATATATATATATATATATATATATATATATATATATATATATATATATATATATATATATAAAAAAGGCTTAAACACTAATATTCCATGGAAATAATTTATTCCATTGGAATCGTAAATACGATCCAATTCATCAGACATACAAATTCAAAAAGAAAACAGAAAAAAAAAAACAACTCCGGAAATAAAAAATAATATATATATATATATATACGCACACCCACACTATGATAAAAGCTTGCACCAATGATAAGTGCATATAAAAAAATGGAAAATCGAGAAGTATAAGAAGTCAATTGCTGATAACTCTGAGGAATGGACGGACGGGTCAGTCTACGAAACTCTGGAGTCGGGATGCTGAAGGTAAATGTTGTAACCTAGAAAGGGTTACTGAATGAGGAATAGCCAAAACAGAGGTTGGAAATGAAATGGTAATCTTTATAACATCAACAAAATACAATACTCGCAAGCGGCGTGAAGTAGGTAAACCACTGCTAGTGGTGGACTACTTAGACACCATATTACCCGCTCAACTTACACTAGTGTCCAACGTATTTATGAGGATTGGGACATACCCATTAGTGTTCATAGATACGGTATATAACAGTAGCATCAATCAGCTAAGTGACAAATGCTTTTCTTATATATATATATATATATATATTAAAAAATTGTTAGGAGGATTTGATAATTATATTTAAGGAATTCATCGAGTCTGAAAGAAACTACAACAGGATGCAGAAAGCACTAGACGGTCGTTTCGCCCTATATTTGGGATTCATCAGCAGTGCGCAACCACTACCGAGAACTGAAACCCGCACAGTTAGGTTGTCAAGCAACCTAACTTTCAGGGTTTCAATTCTCTGAAAAGTCTGAAAGAAACCTCAACCTAACTGTCCGAGTTTCGATTCACGGTAATGGATGCGCACTGCCGATGAGTCCCAAATATAGGACGAAACGGCCGTCCAGTGCTTTCTGCATTCTGTTGAGGTTTCTTCTAGACTCGATGTATTACTTAAATATAATAAATCCTCCTAATAATTACTATCTGTGTATATCATTGCTTGAACCGGCTTCTAATGCTCTAGAGTGAGCGGCTTGGTGAGAGTAGTCGTGGCTCCTGGGGGAACAGTCTTATGGTTACAGAAAACTCAGTAAGAGTTCCACCACGGAATATGTGAGCGAGCGGCGCTATATTGAGTCTGATTTACAAGTCAGGCCCAGTGGAACAGTTGGTATGATGTTTGCTTGACAACCTAACTGTCAGGGTTTCAATTCTCAGTAGTGGATGTGCACTGCTGATGAGTCCCAAATATAAGACGAAACAGCCGTCCAGTGCTTTCTGCATTCTGTTGAGGTTTCTTTTAGACTCGATGAATTATTTATAAATATATATATGTATGTGTGTGTGTGCATAAATCTTCGATTTGATATCGTAATAACTTGTTCGTATATTATAGACATATTTTTTGAAGGTAGATGTTTACGGACATTGTTTGTTGTTACTTTCCTAAAACTGAAAAGAGCTGAGCTAACAGCTAATTCTTTGCCTGCTGTTCAAATAAGCTGAGGCTTGTCAGAACTAAGTCTGTTGGAAGAATTGGGGGTGGGGGGTGAGGCTTGGTAGAAACGTCTTCGCAAGAGCAGCGTGTTTTCTTTGTGTAATATTCCTCCTGATTTATATACACACACGCAACAAATGAAAAGCTGCAAAATAACATGGGAAGCGAAGTAAGAACTAACGAAAAAAGAAAAAAAAAAGGAGAAAAAAGCAAAAAAAAAAACAAGGGTAAAAATATTAATAAAAAATAAAACACTAAATTAAAGTGGATATGATAGGTAAAAAAACCTGGTGAACATCATGTTCAATTAGTGCCTCAACAGCTTCAGTAGCCAATGAGGTGGTAGCCCCCAGGTATGAAGACGTCGGTGTTTTGGTCTGACACAGTGTGTTAAGATCTAATTAATTCTTTGAGGAAAAAGAGCTGACACCCGGAGCGGTCAGTACGTTTCCGGTGAGTGACGGCGGGAAAATGAAAGGATAAAGAAAAAAGACGCAGAGATTTAAGAAAGAAAGAAAAAATGGATGGGTTTAGCACGGCAGTAGCTAGTTAGGAAAGGAACGGGTGAGAAATCGCCAAACGAGAATAGTATATCAAATGATAAAGAAGGCAGAACGAATGGAAGCGAGAGGGCGCGAAGAAGGAAGGAAGGAAGGAAGGAAGGAAGGAAGGAAGGAAGGAAGATCCAGGACGAAATAGACAGAATGAGACAAAAATGAGCAGAGGTGATTGAGAGAACGGGGGAATAAGGTAGAGGAAAAAGAAAGGGAGAGAAAAGTGAAGAGGAAAAAAAAAAGATACGATTAGTGGGAACATGAAAGACAAAAGTTTAGAAATAAGCCAAGAAAGAAGAAGAAGAAGAAGAAAAAGGAGAAGGAGAAGGAGGAGGAGGAAGTAGAAAAGGAGTATAATAAAAAGAGTGAGATGATATAACGAGAGAGAGAGAGAGAGAGAAAGAGAGAGAGGGGGAGAAATAGGAAAGAACTAGAGAAGAGTAGGGGGGATAAAAAGATAACAGAGAAAGGAAAGCGGAAACAAAAAAAATGGATAGGGAATTGTGGGAACAAGGTAGACTGAAAAATAACTATTGCGGTATGAGTGATGAGAGTAGTAGTAGTAGTAGTAGTAGTCGAAGAAGAAGATGAAGAAGAAGATGATGATGAAGAAGAAGAAGAAGAAGAGAATGAATAAGTGTGAAAGAAGAAGGAGGGTATTGGAAAAGAAAGCGAGGAGAGAAGTGAACTGAAAGACGAAGTTTGCGATATAGGTGAGGGTGATAATAATAATAATAATAATAATAATAATAATAATAATAATAATAATACAAGGACCTTGAAATCGAAATCTCAAAAATGTGGAACATGAGGACATCAACAACTCCAGTTGTAGTTGGAGACCTCGGATTTATTGGAAAAGGTCCCAATAGACTCATTGAAAGGTCACTGAAGTGATTTCTGGTACTCACAAGTACAGCCCACACCTTACGAAGGGCTTCATCTATGTAAAAAATGTGTGGTCTTAAGTGGTGTTTTTTTTTGTCGTTTGTTTGTTTTTTAAATTTTCCCTCAAAAAAATGCCCAGTAGAAAATATCATGATATCATTTCTGACCTTAGGTCACTGGTTGGGACCCGGAAAGAAATGAGTATCGACCAGAAATCAAATCAAATCAAATAATAATAATAATAATAATAATAATAATAATAATGTAAGTAAGTAGAACAAAAACAGAAAAGAAAGGAGAAAAAGAAAGCAAAAGAAAATAAAAGGAAAAACAAAAAACGAAAAAGACAGCAAATAAAGTTTTGGGTAAAACAATTGAGAGAGGTATAAATAAACAATAAGAAATAGAGCGATATATATATATATATATATATATATATATATATAGATAGATAGATAGAGAGAGAGATTGGAAAAAGAATAATCAAAAGCAAAGACACAGTCTAAGAGGACGAGAAAGCAATAGGGATATCGTAATAGGAAAACTTGGTGTCAAGAAAGTCAAAGAAAAAAAAATTGAGAGTAGAAAGAAAAAGGGGAAAAAAACTTTTGAAATGAAGCGAGAAATGAAATCCATGTTGTTTGAGAAAGTAACCTATGATAAACATTGCCATTCGCCCGGCTGAACGCTTCTGCGCCTGCGCAAGCGACTCTGATTATGACCCGCAAGTTCTTACCGACATTGTTGGCTCGTCTGATAAAGATGTTTGATGATTTTTTTTATCAAAAACGTTCGTGTACATACCACAGGTTCCAGCGGTCGTCGAGTGTCATGTTATTTATTTCTTACAGTTTTTTTGTCCTTCCTTTTTTTGTTTTCTTTTTTTATGTTTTAATCCCAAGCTGCCATTTTGATTTTATCATACTGATCAGACTTACTATAGAGCGAGAAGAAAATAGTTGTGTCATGATCGTAGATACCAAATTAAGAACTGATGCCATCTGGAAGATCAAAAGATGAAAATTAAGAACAAAAAAGGGATTGCGGCTCTCACTGAGGAATCGGGGAGCCGATTTCGAATTCAAGTCGAGTTCATTACACGCACTTACGTGCTAATACTCTTGAGATATGTAAGAACGAATCCAACTATTCTCTCCTCAGCTATGGGTAAATAGTAGAACAGACTACGGTTCTATAGCCTTGAGTGGCAACCGGTCTAGGAGAAGGAAAACTTTGAATTCAAAATTGTATGTAGCTATGGCGATACACGTACTATGCACATAAGGGAAGGATTGTTCGCATTGATCCGATGATCCCGACTACGGTCGACTCCTTAATAGACTGGGTTCTATAGACTTGAGTGGCAACCAATTTAGGAGAAGGAAAGCTGAATTTAAAATTGTATGTATCCCTGGCGAAGTATATAACATGCGGCTAAGGAGAGAATCGTTCGCATTGACACAATGATCTTGACTACAGTCGAATCCTTAACAGATTGACAACCGCTCTAGGAGAAGGAAAACTGTGAAGTCAAAACTGTATGTAGCCCTGGCGAAGCACATGCTATGCAGCTAAGGAAAGGATCCTGACTATGGTCAATTCCTTTTAGGTCTATGGATAGAACCCTTGGGTGGGGCAACTGATTAAGTTTTGTCTGTGATGATTCGTAAGCTAGTCCTATGTGGCCAAATTCCAGCAAATACAAATAATAATAGCAACAACAACAACAATGATAATAATAATAATAATAAATAAATAAATAAATAAAAATAAAAAATGCAGTCGCTTCTCCGAAAATATGAGACAGTTTTTAGAATTCGGAATATTTCAAATTTCAAAATGGTAAAATAAACAGATAGAGACAAGTGTAATTTTAAGGACATAACGAAAAAAAATGTCCTACAAAATTTAAAACTCATATGACGTACTAAAAGCAATAGAACGATGGCGAAACATCGAATACTAATAAAAAAAAATTATGGATTACAGAACAGGGAAAATAGATAAGGCAAAGAGTTGCGATTTACATAAAGCTACTTCGAAAACGAAATTAAGGAGAGCCATAATCATCACTATCGACATGGTATGTAAGACAAAGAAGAAAATATGAAGCGTATATAGTGTAGGTAATTATTTTTTTTTACTTCAAATTGGTATCACCCCATCCAAGGAATTAAACCGCTAAGACACAAGAGGTTAAAGTGTGTGTAAGAATTGGGAACAGAAAAAATTAATTATGAGTAAAAAGAGAAAAGAGTAATCAGGAGGACATTAGATAACAATCGACATTGAATTTAAATTTTTGCAGGTTAAAGTTGGCTGGAAAGCATCAGACCGGAAGGGAGTTCCACGAGCAAGAAGTGCGATAAAAAAAAAACAAACTGTTAGCACAGAATTTACGGCTATACCTACCCAGCTCAAATGTAATCTGATGAAATCTAGACGCCGGTCATGTAGTTAAATTAATGATTTGGGAGTGAAATGAGGATGAAGGAAGTGTTCGGAGACCGTCGACGGTTGTACTAGCCCGAAGTTACAAGTCATCGTGACAGAGAGTTTGAGCGTACTGGCGTTGTTCAAACTGACAGATTCTAGACTATCTTCCTGAAACTGTAACTAAAGCCTGCACAGCCTAGTTGCTTTGGTGCTTTGCGCAATTGCGGTACCTGGCCGATGAGGTTCGAGGAGTCGGCCGCTCACTTGAGGGGCGTACACATCCTGATCCTTGCTGGTGGTATCACGGCTGCGCTTAGCTCAGGCCGGCTCTGACCAGCTATGACAAGCCAAGACTAGCTTAGACTAGCTCTGACCAGCTTGGACAAGCTAAGACCAGCGGCCTGAGTGAAAACACTCGGGTCCCCACGTTAAAAACTGACCTTGTGTCACACCTTGACTCAGTGAGGGGGGGGGTCAAGTAAATAAACAGCCTAGTTGCTGTATAAACCACAGGGGGAGATATGTCGGTGTTAAACGAGCACAAATGTGTCCGTGCAGGTCTGTGATATCTAAATTGATGAGACCTTGTTGCCAATCTAGTACTGCGCTTCAAAGAAATAAAGTCAAGGTGCCATAGCCAAGAGCTCATCCTCACAATTACCATGAAAATATTTATCGAAAGGACACGGAGAGGCAACTTTACGACGGTGGGAATGTGACTGAAGCCGATCCGCCAGATCAGGATCAATAATATTGCTGATTCTTCTTTGGATTTTATCAAGTAGCTAAAAGTAAATAGCAGGGACAATGGACCATCTGTGGCAGCAATATTCTAAACATGCATCTATGGTAGGCATAGATATGTAAGATAGATTCTGGGGAGAAAATCGCCTCTCACGACACAGTGAACCAACTTTCTTAGCAGCTGACCTAGCAATAGATTCATAATCACACTATTTCATGTCAGCCGAGAGCGTTAATCCAAGAAGGCGCAACGATTTACTTTCTTTAATGGAGAGAAGTTTAGTTTTAGAGGCGTTAAGATTAACAAGCCATCTTTTGCTCCAGTTAACGACGGCCTTGAGGTCGATGTGGATATTGACTGCCACTTTGACCGTGTATCTATATCAGCATTTCATTTGAATTTTCAAACATTTCACTAAGCGGTTGAGCCTCGTCTAACTAGTAGCACTGATTACTATTGCGTGGGATCAGGCGAGGAAATAATAATTTCTAATATTCTTTAAAACCCTTTAAACACAGCGGACATAAATTTCGAGATGGTGGACGAGTCGGAACTAGTTTGGTGCTATTCAATCATTGAAAAAAAAATCAATGTTCGATTTTCGGAGAGTTTTCGCGAAACAAAATTTCAGAGAAGTTGTGTACTTGTATAAAAGATGAAGCAAATATTTCCACAGATATTTTTCTCATTTTTAATTTCACTAAAAGCAAGGCAACACAGCCACTAAGACTGGAGCAGGCGCCATAGATAATCTTTTCTGTTTGCTGTCAGCGCGGCTGACGCCAGACTCTTGAAGAGCAACACACTGTGACTTCTTGGGTTCACGTTTTCAACTGACTTGAAGTGGAGCGGCGACAGTGAATCAATAGCTGCATCTACTGCAAGGAAAGTTGGTTCACTGTGTCGTGCCAAAAGTTTTTTTTTCTCATCAGTGTCCATCTTACACATACAGAAAATCTACCATACGCCCGTAGATTGCAGATTGCTGCCATATTTGGTCTGGTGCTCCTGCTAGTCATCTTGAAGTTCTTGACAAAATCCAAAGAAAGATCTGCAATGTAACTGATCGTCGACTTCGCTCACTTTCTCACCGACGTGACGTGGCTTCCCTCTGTCTTTTCTACAAATATTTTCATGACAATTGATCTGACGAGGTTTTTTTTTCCTGGTGCCTCGACTACTAATAGTTAAATGCAACCGCCATTTCTACTCTAAAAGTTTCTTTTTTTGCACTTCCCACCTGTCGAACTCCCTTCCGTTTACTTGCTTCCCTGATAACTACAATCTTCAAAATTTTAAATGGAACGTCAATCGCCATCTTCTATCTTCTTGAATCCCGTTCAACTTTTGCCATTTACTCAACCCTTCCTATACTCAGTCTTTTCTTTCACTATCAGTTTCTGTGACCCCCCCTGCATATTAGTGGCATTCACGCCTTGCATGGAGTGGACCGTTTACAACAAATGGAGCAGGTGGTTACTTGGTATGAAAGAATATAAGAGGATAAGAAAACATAATTAAGAAGCAAGAACGATAAAAGAACAGAATTTAAGAAGAGACACAACAGACTAGACCAGACTTTGAACTCTGCTAACCGAGAGCACTTTATGAGAAAGGCAGTTACACTCTCAAGACATACGGGATAATGGCTCTCCTCAACTTCCTTTTCTTTAATATGTGAATTATAATTAATGAAAGGAAAAGAAAGAAAGAAGAAATATACAAAGAAGGAAATACTGTATGAAAAAAGAGATAAAGAAAGAAATACTATATGAAAAAAAAGAAAAAGAAATAAAAGAAAAAAATGAGAAAGAAAGAAAGATGGAAAAAGAAAGAAGAGAAGAAAAGGACAAAAAAAGAAATATAGAAGGAAAAAGTAAAAAGAAAGAAAAGAAAAATAAGAAAAAAGAAAGAAAGAAGTAAAGAAAGTAATAAATAAAAGAAAGAAACAAAAAAATAAAGAAAGAAAGAAGAGGTCAACGTCTCGAGAGCACCTCTCTGCGTCTGCTCGGTCTCACGTTGACTGCTGACCTGAGATGGAACAAATAGATTCAGTCAATTGCTTCGTCCACCCCAAGGAAAGTTGGCTCCCTGTGCCGCGCCAGGAAATTTTTCTCCCCGGAATCGATCCTCCAGATCTACAAATCAACAATTCGCCCTTTCATGGAGTATTGCTGCCATATATGGTCTGGGGCACCTTCTGTTTGCCTCGGGGTTCTTGATAAGCTCCAGAGGCGGATATGCAATATAACCGGCCCTGTTCTGGCATCTCGTCTACAGTCGCTCTCCCACAGACGCGCCGTCGCCTCTCTCTGTCTTTTTTTTACAAATACTTTTATGGTAATTGCTCCGAGGAGCTGCTTTCGTTGGTTCCCAGACTTCATGAATTCAAGCGCCCTACGAGGCTGGCATCCCGCTCTCACCCTTTCACTGTCGAAACTATTAAATGTAGCCGTCTCTTCTACTCCAATAGCTTCATATCTCGCACCTCT